AAAAAAAAAAACAGAAGGAAACAAAGAAGAAGAAAGACAATACTGAGATGACAATGATCAGAGGGCACGATGGTGATGATGATGGCAAGCAGCAGGAGCATGGGGACAAGAACAAGGAGACCACATACACACGTATGTCCGAGCCATGAAAAAGAAAAAGAAGAAGAAGGATATGATCTCCCCCTTTCTCCTCATCCTGCTCCAGGCGGTCATCCTCCTCCATGCCCTTATCCTCCTCTATGCATGTGCCAGCTTCCACAAGCGCGCCATCCTCCTCCTCCGCATGTGTGGAGATAACGTTGTTGCATCACATTCACGCCCGCACTGCGCTGTTGTCGGGTCATTCCCATTTCAAAGCCGCTATCGCATTGGAACAACATGGCCCAACCGATTTTCAGAGAGCCCTTATGTGACAGGCAACCGCACCCCCAACACTGCTTTTGAGTCGGAGTGGGCTCTAAACTCCGAGTCGGAAAAGTGCGTGAAAGGGGGTGTGCCAAGGATTCTAGGAAAGATGGGGGTGGAATTCTACAAAGGTCGGAACTGGAATCTTTGTGAATCAGCTCCGGAACAACTCCGGTGGGGGGGAAGGAAAGGAAGCAACAAGAACAAAATCTGCCAGTAGTGGGGCTGCACCGGGGCATCAATCAAAAACTAATTTATTTATGCAAAAGAAAAGAACCATAGTATTGTGTAAAATTTCAAACCATGTCATTCACCATTTCAGAAATTACCTACATCCTTCGATGAAATGTTGCGGCCTCTTGCAGGTGTACACATGGGGGCATGGAGATCAACTATGGTACGCTTACGTGTCCTGCAAAGTCTAGACCCCTAAGTGGAAGGCCAAAGTTGAGCCTTTCATTCGTGGGTTTGTGACGCGCAAACCTCACGCCCTGTGCTGTCTTTCGTTCAGAGTGCTAGAAGTGCGGAAAAGGGGCCCAGAAAAACAGCAAGATGGGGTTTGCCAAGGATTTTTGGAAATTGAGTGTGGGGACACAGACGGAACCAAAATCCCCCGTGTTGGTCCGATGAAGTAAATCGACCGTTTTCCGCACGTCGCAAAATGCGCACGAGAGTTCGGCGTGAAAGGGGAGAGAAATACAAAGTCAATCCAAAAAGTATTGTCGGACTTCCCACCGTGCTACGACCCTTCGTTTAGAGCGAAAAGGTTTCGGCACGCTTCGCGTGTCTCATCTTCGTATTAAGTCCCGACGTTGTTCACCAGCCAGTTCTGAGTCCGACGTGGAGGGCCTCAGTCATGTGGCTCTTTTTCTGTGTTCGTCTTCACTCCGTACGCGGCAGTGGAAATCCTTGGATTCATAGCGCTCAAAGCGCTGGCACTCGGTGCATAGAGTGTGAGGCCAGTGGGGTTCTACTGCCGTCCACGGGAGGACGATCAACTCGTTAAATGGCAACAATATCGAGTAAGGTGGAAAGTGTGTATCGATAATGACAAACCCAGCCTCTACGAACCCTGAACAACGATTTTCCAGAGGGAAGTAATATCGTCCGCCGATCCGTGCGACAGCTTCTCGTACGTCCCACTCGCATACACGTGTCCTTTCCTCGTCGTAATGAAAAGGTCGCGTTGATACGGGAGATACGGGAGGCTGACGCCCGATTGAAGGGCATTTGTCAATCCACATGTCAATCAATTGCAAAAATCCCGAGACGCCATCAAGGAAAAACACTCGCACAACCACCAATCAATTCTTTTCGACACGAGAGAGAGAAAAAACACTCATCAGCTTGACCATGCATGTAGCTGAGGGACCGACCCACGACTCAGGTTTAGTAAGCCACCGCGGCGTTGATCCCGGGCGCCTTGTTTCTCGAGGCTGCCCTGTAGATCGGTTGCAGATGTCGTGCAGCATAAGGCAAATGACATGCGCAGTGCATTCAGAACTACTGATCTAAACACTCTTGCATTCTCGAACAAAATCCCGCCGAGTGCGGTGTCTAATCAATACAAAAAGGCAGGTATCTCCATACATATATTCATTGTGAAAGGTGCGAAAATGACAGTGGTGCACAGGTCGAAAATCAACCGAGGGAATTGTACACGCGCATCCACCGAGTGTTGGAATGGGCCAGTAGAGGCGGTACATGGAGGGAAGTCCGCAGGGACGACCGGGAGGGAGTGGGGGTAGGTAGCGATTCAATCCTTCTACTGTCACTGGAAGTTCCTCATAGCGAATGATCTGGTGAAAACGAGGGAAGCGATCGTCGCTATGAGGAAGAGAGGCGAGGTAGTCACGGTAGAGGGAGGAGAGGGTGCAGAAGAGCGTTGCTGCGCGAAAGAAATCGTAGTGGCGACAGGCGGGGATCGTCCCCGTGGCTACGCAGTAGACTTCTACTACGTTGCATTGCTCCCACGCAGCGCTGAACAACAAGATATGTAGATAGAACGTGGGGGCAGCGGGCTGAAGGGAGCGGTGGGAGTAGACAGTAGCGATTAGGCGGATAGAGTAGAAATCACGGAAGAGATGGGGATGGAAGGGGTGGCGGGGGAAGGTGACGGGGGTGTGGATTTGCTCGATGGTGAGGTAATCAAGGGGACGGCGGGATAATGTCCGGGGACGAAGGCCTATCCCCCGCATCGGTACGTGGACGAACTGGGGGACGGGTGGGGCTGGAGGGGGAGGAGGATCGGTTCCGTCTCCGCCGTGAGATGCTTGGGGTGGCGGCTGCTGGGTCGCCATCTTTAGGCTTCGACGGCTCCGGATCCCTGGTTGGATCGTCACCGATGCGCAGGCTTGCTCCGCTGGCGAACTCCAGCTGGCGTTTCCCGGTGGCAATTTCTTCTCGCTTGCGTGCTGCCTCAGGATCTTCCGCCTCCGTGCCAGTACGCGTCGCTTCCTCCGGCAAGGCTTCCCACTCAGACCCGGTTTCTTCTTCCTCTTCTTCTTCTTCTTCTTCTTCGCTCTGCTCGCCCTCGCTATAATCGCTATAGTTTCCCTCTTCCGATGTTTCCTCGTCGTCGTCACTTTCCTCTTCTTCTATCACGGTATCACCACCTCCTCCGCCTTCGGATAGAAAGCGTGATTGATGATGCCGTATGGCTTCAGATACTCCTGCCGCGACGGTAGATTCGTCCCCAGGCTCTTCCAAGCATGCACTCCACTGAAGATACGGATCCAACGTTCGCGGGAGTACGTGCGGAGCGGGGCTGTTGTCGCTTTGCGAAACGATGTCAGGAGAGAGATCGTCCGCCAGTTGCACGATCGGCGCAATGAGTTCTTGAGCAATTAGCTGGCGATGTCCCGGCCGCACCGATCCGAAGAGAAAACCGAGGAGATCACCCTCCATGTTAGTCCTCCAAGCTTGTATGATCAGCAATTCCAGATTTTCGAGCCACGCGGGATGCTCGCTGGTCCGCATCCACGTCACCTGTACTCGAGCCAAACACATGGACAGTTCGACAAAGGTCTCGCGCCAAAGTCGCCAATGCCCGGGATTAAGAAGCGGGACGGAAAGGGGTTCGATCGAGAGGGAAAGATGAGGATGAAGATCGGACTGCCAGAAGGTAGGGAAAAGAGAGGGGAGACCGAAGACGGAGAGAGGAGCGAGGGGGGCGGCGTGGTTCATCGGGGGCGTGGGAAAGCAACAAGGGTGGGGATCGCGACCGTTGGCTCGCGCGGAGAGAGACGGACCCCGTCAAGATCAGATGCAAATGCCGGGATGAGATTGTGCCCCGGTCGGGCAAGACCGTGCCTCCACACGATGGACACCTGCTCCGTCCACTCTCGCAGCGATGTCAAGATCGCGGTATGCCACAATGGATTGACCGCACTGATGTCGCCGCTGAAAGCCGCGACCGTGGTGATGTGGCTCGTTCCGGGAGCCGCTCGCCGATGTACCACTACCACCTCCGCCAATACTATTGCCTGCGGACTCCCTTCGAATCGAAACGCGGCAGCTGCACACACACTCACGTCGCAGAAGAACTGCGCCAGACGTCGAAGATCCGTACTAAGCCGTGGATGATGAACTTGCCGAATTTCCGAAATGTGGCCACGTGGCTGCAACATTTGATCGTCGAGAGTCCGCTCTGTGATGAAGCTCATGGCGAGGACGGAGAGGAAGACGAAGGGCAGGAGGGAGAGAGCGGAGAGAGAGTTAGATCGTCGTCGTTCTCCTCGCCTTCGGAGGAGGAAGAAGGGGGAAGATCAAAGGGAGGGAGAGGTCGGAGGTAGGAGGTATGTCGGACGATGGGGACAGAGCTATGGCTGGCACTGGCCTCGGGCGCGATGCGCACCGTGTTGGCGCCGTTGGGTCCGAGCTCGACAACGTGAAAACAGCCAGAAAAAAACTTGGGAGCGAGTTTCCGGTTGCGTGCACATTTACGTACCTGCACTAGGTCCCCTAATTTATATTGATGCTAGGGCCCAGCATTTCCATTTCGAGCCTCATAGCTACGGACCTGCCTACCGTCGGCCAGATCGGCCATCCTCTGTCTTTTTCGAGCTAGCTTCGGGACGGCCCGTTCCATTAAATCGGTATACCTTTTGGCCTTGGCCTTGAGGGCGGCACGCGTATCTCTGCCCCCTGCTTCGACAATTTCTGAGTTACCCCGGTAGTCAACACAGGGGAGGCTATTAGTGCAAAACTGAAAGGGGGTGAACCCCGTGGACTCATGAGGGGAGGCCCGGTGAATTCCGATGATCTGATACACGATCTCGGGCCACAGACGCGTGTCATGTGCCGCTAAATTCCTACGAAGGGCGGTTTTAATCATACGGTTGGCATTTTCAGCCAACCCGTTCGACTGAGACACGTGGGGTGCCGTATGTCGGAGCGTGATGCCCCTTCATGCGAGCAGTTCCTCTACTTCGCCTTTGAATTCGGACCCATTGTCAGTCAGAATTTCTTCCGTATCTAGATGGGTATAGAGGAACCGATCGATGTACGTGGCTATTTCTGCGGCCTTGCGGGTCTTGCAGGGGTAGACTTCGATGTACTTGGAAAAATGATCTATTAATACTAAAAGGATAGAATATTCAGAGCGGTTTGGGCCAGGTGGCACGCCAATATCTATTGTGTCCATACTGACTCGCTGGAAGGGGCGTTCTACTTCAGTTGGTACTATCGTGTTCGGTTCCCGTATTGGGGCGCGATCAGCGGCACAGACCAGGCAGTTGGCGACAACTTATCTGACATCATCTCGTATATTGGACCAGAACCATCGGTTCTGGTCTATATTTGCCTTTGTGACACGTATCACGAAATGAGCGGTCTGCTCTTCGTGAGCAGATCGGGTCCAATCATATCTCTGATGAGGAAATGTCAGCCATGAACCCGATCTGTCAGTTTTACGCTTCCCCAAATGACCGTTGATCCATCGATATTCCCAAAATCTCTCGGTAGCCCTACGTATGTCTTGTTTTGTGAGGTGACCCAATGATAATCCCGCTAATTTAGCTAATAAAATTTTATCCGTCCAAACCTCCGCTCGACGGTATTTCTCATCATATTCAGGTCCGTCCGTTCGGGCGGCCTCGAATCAAACCTCAGTGGGAAGTTTGGTCGTTCTACACAGGGGGCACCTCCATTCCTTGTTACTTGTCCGATAGCGAACGCAGGCCCCATGCGCACGATTGACACACGTGGCACATTCTACCCAATCGACAAACCCGGTTTCGAAAGGAGGACAGTCAACCCCATAAACCCGTGCAATACATGTGCAAAAATAGCAGAATTTATCGGAGAGGGTGACAAAGAAGGCGGAGGAGGTGAGAGGGGCAAAATTAGTAGGAGAAGAGGGGGTCGCAAAGAAGGGTGGGGTAGTCATGATGGCAGAGAGGGAGAGATGGGACTGGATTGCAGAGGGGGAAGAACAAAAAATGGACCCCGTGTCGCTTATTCCTTTGACAGGATCTCCACTTGGCCGTACCGAGGTCCGTTCTCTTTCTTCGGTTCGTTCCACGGAATCACCTCCTCATTCTTCGGAACCTTCTCAGGTCGGTGCAGTCGTTTCAATCCGTCTGCATTCCCGTGCCTTTCGTGTTTCCGGTGACGAATGTCAAAGTCCATGCTCTGCAGTACCGTTGCCCATCGCCCGATCATGCCCGAGTAATCCTTAGATTTCTTCAGGGCTAGCAGAGGCTCATGATCGGTTACCAATGTGAACTTCCGCCCGTACAAGTAAGCTCGAAAGTGACTGATTCCCCAGAGGGCCACGTAGCATTTTCCTGTTGGGGCGGCGTAGTTACGTTTGCAGGCGGGCACCGATTTGGACGCATACTCCACCACGTTCTCAAGTCCGCTTGGTCCCACCTCGGCCAAGATCACCGAAATTGTCTTTGGCTGCTAGTCAGTAATGAGGACAAAAGGCTTTTCGGGATCCGGCCTTATAAGGACCGGGGCCGAAATGAGGGCGGCCTTGAATTTCGAAAACGCTCGATCACACTCCGGCGTCTAGATCAACGGCTGGTCCTTTCGCAGCAGATTCGTGAGGGGTACCGCAATCGCCGCGAAGCCCTTGATAAACCTTCGGTAGTACGAGGCCAGGCCCAGAAAGGCACGAACCTGCGTAATAGTCGTAGGCACCGGCGCATCTCTGACAGCTGCCACCTTCTGCGGCTCCGATCTAAGTCCCTGGCCTGTTACCACGTGTCCTAGGAAGGAAATGGTGGTAAGGAAAAACCGGCACTTCTCGAACGCCACCTTGAAACCAGCGTCTCGTAACGCATGCAACGCCCATTCGATGTGTTGCATGTGCCCTTCGTAGGAACTCGAATACACCAAAATGTCATCCATGTACACAATCACGCAGTAGTTAATTATACTCTGCGCCAGACGAGTCTTCCGCACAAAGTTATGAAAGGCCATCATGATGTTCATGGCTCGTTGGAAAGTTGCGGGAGCATTGCAGATGCCCATCGGACATCGAATCCACTGCCACGTACCTTCGAAGAGTACGAACGCAGTCTTCGGGCGATCTTCTTCTCGAACAAGAAGATGATGGAACCCATGGCGAACATCAAACTTGCTGAAAAATCGAGCACTCCCAATCGCATCCAACAACTCGTCAATCCGGGGGAGAGGGTACACATCCTTGATCGTGATATCATTCGACTTTGGATAATCGATGCAAATGCGAATTCCTCCGGTCTTTTTAGGCACAATCACTACGGGAAAGACCATGGTCCTATAGCGAGTTCGATCCATCCATTAGCTTCAAATTCTTTGATCCGCTGAAAAGCGGCCGCTCTTTGAGCTGGTGAGTACCTATAAGGAACGCAGCTAATGGGTGGATGATCCCCCGTGAGAATGGCATGTTCAATCACGTTAGTTAGGCCGATATCATTATCGTGCACACTCAATACTTCCACGTAGCCATTCAAAACATTAATTAGCGACTTTTGGAGTTCGGTGGGGACGTGGTTTGGGAGGGAGATTGTCGGTCGTCCAGAGATCTGAAGAGATATGTCGACCCAATCAGTCGGCCTTTCCCGTCGCTCATGGACACTGGGAAAAACGGACCTACTGGTGCGAACAGAGAAGACAGTCGCAATCATCTGTCATTCAGCAGGGCTGATCATTTCGGTTTCCTTGGCTTCGACATCAGTCTCTGAACCGACCGATGTTTTTTCCACAGTTAGTCCTGTTAGATCCGCCATTTCCTGCATCAGATCGGGTACGTCGCCTACCGGTGCTTCGGCCTCTTGTTTAATCAAAGCAATGGTCGCTCCCATTGTTAGCAAAGATCTTGGTGGGAAAACAGAAACATCCACATATTGTTTTGTCTGTTGGTAGCGTGCTCGTAAGGAAAGCGCTCCCTCGTACAAGGTGCGAGGGGGGTCCAAATCATCTGCTGGGTTAGATACTTGCAGGATGGGTTTCCCGAGGAGGGTTGAAGGATTGATTCGGGTTTCCAGAGGCGCGAGCGTGCCGTCTTTCGAATCCACGTGGAAGCTACGGGCGGTTCTGGGGCACACTCGAAACTCTTCGGGGATTTCGTGCTCGAAAAGTTCGACCAGGTGCTTCCATTCATCCTCACTAGGGATTTCTTCTTCGTACACCTGTTCCCCGATTCCGCTACTGATGTCCAAGGAAGAAGGTTCCTCAGGATCGAGGCCTTGAATCATCCCTACTTCGGCAGAGTTAGGAGTTTGTTTTACCGTCCGGGTGGAAATCCGCAAAGGGACAGTCTGAGGTTTTCCCCCAGTTTGCGTGAGCACCAGTTGTTTGGAGTCGAAATGCAGACGAGCACCTACCACCATCGCCGAAGGTAATCCTAACAACACAAAATAGGAGCGCACATCTATTACTAGTGCGTTAACAAGGACGTGTACTCGTCCGACCTTCACAGCCACATTCTCAAGAATACCTACGATGTTCATTGCTTCCTCGTCGGCAGAGACATAATTGTCTTTCCCAGATTGAGGAAGAATGGGTCCGAGTCGTCCTGTCTTTCTTACTGTGTCTAAGGATATGGCCACTGCGGAAGACCTAGTATCGATAAGGGCGTTAAACGATTTGCCCCAAACTTCACAATCGCACTCAGCGCTTTTACACAACACTGGTCGAGCTCGTACGAAGTGATCCTTCTCTACCAACGAAATCGCAGCTACTCGTGTTGCTTCGGGTTCACCTGTTTCAGGTTCAAGTGGTGCAACCTCCTCGCCTCCTTTCTTCTTCTTCATCATTCGCTGTACCCGCTGGTACGTGAAGCTATGTATCCCCGTAGGCCGCGGTCACCGCGGGCATGACCGCGGCCCATGCAGTCGACCGCGAGCCCGCAGTCATGACCGCCGCGGCCGCGGTTGAAAAAGGCTCGCCCCGGGCGAGGGGGAGGGAGTACTGGAGGTCGGGGTCGGGATTCTGGGGGCGCACCCCAGGCCCCATGCCCCCGCATTGAAAAAAAAACAAAAAAAATAAAAACGGGGGGGGTCCATTTTAGGGGGGG